CCATCTAGTTCTATAAGCTTAGCCACCATTCTAATCACCTCGTTGTTGCGAACGTCTACGTGCGGGTCGTTAACCTTCAACGCGATGATGTTGTCTACCATGCCCCTGAGCCTTGAGACCAAGACACCAATCCTAGCCCAACCACGTAGCCTATAATGAAGATTTAGTCAGTATGGCCACATTAATAATGATGATTTAAGAGGGGGATATTTACCTTAGCCATCCATCGACCACCAGGCCCCTGCCAAGAGTGTCGAGCTCAATAGCGCCGGAGAACAAGAGTAACGTGAAAGAGTTGAATGCTGTAAATAGTCAGTAAATTATGTAAATATAGCAAGATACATAGAAGACTCACGAGTTAACTCCCGAATGAAGATCTTGCTCGTAGACATCATATTGAAGTATGACAGGAACGCAGCGTTGCCCGAAAACCCTTGACTGTCATGCAATGTGCTCGCAGGGTGGATGAACACGCGGCCGTTCTCCTGTGTATAGTATCTAATTGTCCGGGCTTCTGGGTCAATTTCTACCGCACCCGACATCGACGTCGCGAACTTCTTGTCTGGGAACTGTATCCGTGCTATCTGCGGCGTGAACGCAGAGGCCGTGAGCGCACGTACGAGAGCCTGTGATGCTTGGTTTCCCGCGGGGCGAGTTTCGCGTATACCTAACTCAGAAAGGGCGGAATAGTATTGCGTTCGGGTTGCTGAGATGTCATTGAGGGTCTGGTATGAAAGGAAGTTCTCGTCGCAGAATTGCCGCAATTGTCGCTGCGGTGTACCCCCTTCCATCATGGTGTTCCACTCCTGGAAAGCTCTCAAATCCGTGAGGAGGTCGCCGTCGCCTCTGGAAAATTTCATGCGAGCAGTTTTGGCATCGTCCCGTTTCTCTGGGGGGGATACGAACGGACTCTTGGTGCTTAGGATAGAAGCGATAGAGATACTCTCGTCAAGACAGCCAAAAATAGCGCCGTAGATCATAAGCTTCCCGCAACGCAGATCGGCGGGGATCATGGCCAGCTGCTGTCCGAGAGCGGTCAGCTCCTCGCCATCAAGTGCACCCATTCGTTGAAGCATCTTGACAGCATTCTCGACGGCAGAAATAGTCGGTGGTGTTGGTGTCCTCCCCAGGAATCCACCGACATCTCGGGTTCCCATGGCTCGAACCGACAGACAAAGTTGCTCAAGAGGCACGCGCCGAATCTCCGGCTCTGGGCGTTCTGCCATGCGTTGTTCAAGATTTTTCGTGTACAATTTATAACATTTACCAGCCTGTACTCGACCGGCACGTCCTCGGCGTTGCTTGCAAGCGGCGAGGGAAGCCCACGTCTCCTCGAGCTTACGCATATTATTCTGAGGATCGAAACTCGTCTCCTTTACCTTTCCTGTATCGATAACGGCAACAATATCGTCGATCGTGATAGACGTCTCTGCTACGTTCGTAGCAACTACCACCTTTCGCTTTCCAGAAGGAGGGCTTGTGAATACTCTCCGCTGCTCGCGCGTGTCAAGAGAGGCATGAAGAGGTAGGACATGGAGGGATGGGACATTCCTAAGTTGGTTGACTGTCCGGTTGATCTCTGCAACACCCGGTAGGAATATAAGAATACCACCCTTCTTGTTGCTGTGGTATAGATCCGCATCGATAACTTTTGCCGTCTCAACTAGCAAGGAATAGTTGATCCGAGAACCCAACCTCTGAATAGTCTTGTTAATCGGATCTTGTGGTCCCTTATCACCACCGCCTTGTTCTGTAGAGTCAAACATTCCCTCGTCCCGATCACGATACCTATTATTGTCCACAGTGAAGTCCGTCATGCGAATTATATCGTCAAGATAGTAATCCTCAACGGGGTACGTTCTACCAGCAATCTCGACCAGGCCAACCTGTAGTCCTTCGGAAGTAAAGTAGCTTTGAAAAGTGGCTGCGTCGAGCGTAGCGCTCATAAGAATAAGCTTAAGGTCTTTCCTCTGTTTCAAGACGTCGCGAACAATGCTGAGAAGGAAATCCGTATCTAAACTCCGCTCGTGAACTTCGTCAATAACAACATGGCTCACATCGGCTAACGACGCAACAACATCCTCGGTCCGCCCGCCAGAAGTCTGTAGACGTCTTAGAAGCACACCAGTGGTAACAAATGTGATTTTTGTCTGAGAACTAGTTTTATTCTCACCGCGGATGGTATAACCCACTTCTTGACCAAGCTTAGAGCAGCGCTCGTCGCTGACTCTGTCCGCAAGGCCGAGAGCAGAAATCCTGCGTGGTTGCGTACATATAATACTCGCAGCGTGTCCAAGTCCTTTACTATACAAATCGTCTAGAATGAATTGGACCGACTGCGTAGACTTACCAGAACCCGTTTCGCCAGCAATGATGGTGACTTGCTTCTGTGAGACTGTATTGATAACTAGGTCTCTTGCTTGCCAAGCGGGTAACTTCTGTCGTTGAGCTAACATTTCTTTGAGCGCGGGGCTGTTTTGCCTTTTTTGCCATTCTTCCTTGCTGCGTGTGTTTACAGTCCATGACAACGGTTTCGGGTGCCTTGAAGGTCTCTGATTTACTGGGATAACATGTCGTGTCTCTGCCGCAGTAGATGCAACACCTGATATGTCTCTCAGCTTTCCCGGGTTCTCGATAATAGCGTTGATATTCTGCTGAATCCAATCAACAGCAAAGTAAATCTTCATCGGTTCTTCGCTAAGAGACTCGCTGAGATAGGCAAGAGCCTTCTTGACTATGCTAAGTTTAATATAAGAGGGTAGATCTGCCATCATGGCCACAACAACTTCAGATGGATACCGCGGCGTTTTGCGGAATTGTACGTAAGCCTCGACGTCCTTCTTAGGGCCATTTCTGACCGAATCAATTCGAATTTGGCAAACGTCGTCAGACAAGCGTTTGAAATGCTCGCCGAAGACAGATGAGAGACTTTCCATTTCATCGTCCCAACATTCCTCCGGAGTACCTGATATGAATGGCTCTTCGATGTCATTTGCCAATGCCGAGTCGTTACCACTGGAGAGTAGAAAGTGCTGCAATGCCTCGGCGGTGACGCCTTCATTTCCGTTATTCTCATCGTATAGCTTTCGACACAGCTCAGCAGAGTAGCCTGACTGAGACAGCCGTTTTACTGCTGCTTCACGCTTCAAGTCTTGCGTCGCAGCCACTGAAACGCCTGCGCTATAACTCCCCGGTAAAGCCCATCTAGGGAGATCATCCTCGGGTACATGTATCAGTAGCCATTCCAGGGTCTCCTCGCGGTCTTTGCATTCTTCGACGGCTTCTTCTACGTGGCTCTTTCGAAAGCCAGAGTTGGTAAGTTCCTTGATGATGGCCTCTTTCAGGGAAGTCGACATATTAACACCATGCGGGTTCCAGATTACTTCCCGTCGAAGCAGGTCTTCTAATTGGGACCGTGTTTTCCGGCCCATTTCGATCTTCGGAACTGTCGTCCATCCTTTCATGGGATTACTACCTCCTCCAGAAGAGGATGCGGCATTGCTCCGGAGAACTAAACCAGACGCACCGGGCATATTCTTCGCCTTTTCTCTGATTGCATCCTGCTCCTTTCGTTTCCTTTCCGCGGCAGCTTTCTCGTCCTCTCGCTGCTTCAGGCTGGCGAAGGGATCCGCATCGTACATCCATGCGTTTCCCTTTTTCACATCTTCCTTCTTTAGTTCCTCGAATTTCTTCCATAGTGCTTTATAATCTGGGGGTAGGGTGGTGTGTATGTTTTTCATACTACAGACTCTGAACAGAGCATATGTAGCGGCGGCATGTCTAGCTTCTAAAGGAGTCTCCCTGGTCACTAGGTTCTTATAGTCTGGGGGTAACTTGAAAGGAGGCAGCTTCTGCATCTCCTGAGTCTTGGGGTTCTTGGCACTAAGCTGGACGAAATATGAGATGCCCTCCGAACTTCTGATCTAACTCGAATTCATTAACTAGGTACAAGAGGCAGTTGAGCAAAACAAGCCGCTTACAAGTTGGTAGTCGGGCTTGTCCCACTTCTGCCTTTGACAATGCTCCGAGAGCAAGTTCACGGGTAGTTTACCGGTCCAACTCGCCCCTCCGATAATCTGCTTCACCGTCGGCTTGGGGGGCCCTGGAGCCTCTGCTGCTGCCGGCTCACCCACCCCAGTATTCTTTCCTCCCGCAGCCGAAGAGCCTCCGCCTCCGCCACCTTTCTTATTGGGCTTAGAATCATTGGTAGAGTTTGTGAACACTATAAAATCGTCGTTTGGCTGCGATGTGGCAGCATTTTTACCTGATTTAGATGAAGATTTCTTTGATGACGATGATGCGTTAGCGGCCACAGCAGCTCCCGAAGGTGTCGCTGTGGCCTTTTCCTTGCCTTTCTTTCCCATGCTGATAATCCATTTGGTATTCTAGATGTGTGATCTTAAAATGCTTTCATGGTTATCTATGGGATGGGATGGGAAATAAGTGTAAATCGTCCAAAGCTGACGGTTTGAGATAAAAATATAAAATTTCCAGTTTGTACCGGTGTATATTCCCGGTGTATATCCGGCGGGACTTGGATTAGGTACCTGAATACTTAAGTGCCTAGGTACTCGTATACAGTTAAAGGGGTATCTATACTGTATATTAAAACAACAGTCTCTCGATATTGCTGGAAAATAACGTATACCCCGCACGGTGTGAATTGGAGTTGTTGTCTTTGATTGCCCCACTTAGTACAATGGCGGGGCAGATAAAAGGTCCTTACCTGCATGTGGGTATGTACATCCACATATGTAACTAGTAACTATACGAAATACATGTACATCTCTTACATCTCTTACATCAACAATATGGAATAACATCAACGATTCCATTTATATGATCCATCAGGGCGAAAGGTTTTAATCAAGCTATACCTATCCCATCTACTCTCACCTACCTTTTACTAAGAGCATATATATCTCCGCGAATATAGTAATACGAAATGTGAAGACTACCTATAACTTCGAGTCCACCGGGTCTATTTTATCGCCGAATCATCTACAAGCCAACTTACATCCTGCCCAAGCACCGGCACCACCTAAATGTAGACCTCGAAGATAGACCCTCAACCTCCAAACAACATTTCTTTAGACCCCTTTCCATTAGAGCAAGTCGAACGAACAGCAACAACATGACATCAGCCGATTCAGACCCCGAAGATGCCATCACCAAGGAAGAAATCGCAGGGACAGCACCTATCCCGGCAGACACAGCGGGCGCCGGTGTAAGTAAAGGCACGAAGCGCAATGCATGTAAGTAACCGAGACAAATCTTCCCTCGTCCTATATATACATACCTAGGTATGTAGAACGAGACTAATAAGATATACAAGTCACAGAACTCATGTCGCCAAAGACCAAGACAGCAAAAGAAGAGCCCAAACACCCCCCAACAAAATCCTTCAACAGGCGCGACGGCCTCGGCGCCTACACTCACGACCCGACCGCCTTTCCCACAAGCCGAGTCATATACTACGACGACGACTTCGTCGCCATCAACGACATGTACCCCAAATCCACCGTCCACACGCTGCTGCTCCCGCGCTCGCCCCGCAGCCGCATGCATCCCTTCGACGCCTTCGAGGACGCCTCCTTCCTAGCCTCCGTACAAGCCGAAACGCAAAAGCTAAAGCGGCTAGTAGCCAAGGAACTACAACGACGGTACGGACGATTCAGCGCCTTGGATCGTGAGCGCGAGGCCGTGCTCAACGGGCAGAAGGAGTGGGATGGCGACGAGCTACCCAAGGGTCGAGACTGGGAGACCGAGCTGCTGGTCGGCATTCACGCCCACCCGTCTATGAACGACCTACATGTGCACGTCCTGGCGCCAGATATGGTGTCGGAGTGTATGCGCCATCGCAAGCACTACAATAGTTTTAATACGCCCTTCCTGATCGACGTTGCCGACTTCCCGTTGCCGAAAAATGATCATAGGAGACACCCCGACAAAGCCGGATTTCTAAATACTGACCTGAAGTGCTGGCGCTGCGGGAAGAACTTTGGGGCCAGTTTCAAACAGCTCAAAGAACATCTTGCGGAAGAGTTCGAGGAGTGGAAGAGAATCTAGGTGAACAAGAGTCTTGTTCGGTTTGCAGAATAATTTAGAATTTCCAAAGAGATCCTCAAGTAATGCTAGAAGAGATCATAGGAGATAGGGCTTATGAGTTCGTTGCTTACGCCCTTTAATACGAAGCACATCGCGGCATTGACACGAGTGCGCAGATCAAATAATATGCTTTACTACCTACTGTAGTATAGGTACGCATAAGTCGGCGGAAGATTGTAATGCATAGCGTTAGGTAAATAACTTTTCGTATGCTCCCAGTTTTTCCCTCCGGAAAACATGGAGTCATATAATAAACAAGCTGTGAGGGAGCACTGGTAGTGGTCGTAGTCACGATGGACTACGAGGCCATTACCGCATCAGAAGTATGTGTACAAGCCAGCTCCTCCTTATCAACGCCATTATTCTCAGCCAATCGTAAAAGAAAACCCCATCTCCCCATGACCAAGTGTTCGCATGCAACCGAGTAGTGCTCACACAGAAGACCGAAATGACTATGCTTCACATAATAGAAGCATCAGGTCCTCAGTTCTCAGGAGCAGCAGGAACACTCCTTACGTTACTGATACGTCTGAGGACATTGGATAGAAAAACACCCACGTATAACGCGCGGACTTCGGTGCCCTAATCCTCCTATATAACCCAAATTAGTAAGATATTGGTACTCAAAAACGGGAGCTGTGCATAAAGGGGGAGTGCGAAAAGGGTGATCCTACCTCGTGAGGAGCGGTATTGTCATTGTCAGCTGCGTTGTCATCTTCAGCATTGTCATCCATCTCGATATCATCACCTGCTTCATCTGTAATCACACAAGTGGAAATGTTAGTGTTTATTCGTAGATCTAACCATCTATCACATCCTAGCCCAGTTCCACGCGATAACGTACCTTCGTCATCCTCGCCCTTTCCGTCAACATCATCATCTTCCTCCTCCTCCTCAGGCTCGTTGACAGGTGAAGCGTCACTCTTGCGAGGTCGGCCGCGTCCTTTTCCTGTGCTAGCGGGCTTAGATGCGGCAGACTTGGGAGTCGTAGTTTTCTTTGGGGTAGTGGCGCCTGTATCGCTCTTGCGAGGGCGTCCACGACGACCAGGACCACTGCTGGCGGCAGGCTTGGATGGAGCAGGCTTAGCGGCCTTCTTGATTCCGGGAGGACGGCCACGAGGGCGACCCGAAGGAGCTTTCTTGACTTGAGCTGCGACGCCATTCTTGGGGGGGCGGCCGCGGCCGCGCTTCACTGGGGCTCCATCGTCAGCTACCGGTTCAGCTGTTGTGCCATTCTCCTTGGCGGCTGCGCGCGAAGGTCTCGTAGGCGCCATCACGATAATGTGATGTGGTGTGTAGGTAGTATAGGTAAAAAAGGGCGTGCCGGGGGAAAAAAGAGTGCACGTCTTTTTCACAAAAAGATTTGTTAAAATTTAGGCCTTTTTTGAGATAAATTCAGGAGAATTAGAAAAATAAATCCCGGAAAAGCGCAAAGTTGATGAAATATGTTGAGTTAAATAGAAAGGAGGGAAAAAAAAGATTTAAAAAAAAAAAAAAAAAAAAAAAGAGGATGAATTAATGACTGAGGTAGTTGGGGAATGGACGCGTGCAAAATTATTAGACCTGGGCAGCTCCTGCGCGTCTGGTGTTTATCAAGTACAGGTGTACCTAGGCGGCCGGGGTAGTTATAGGTGAGCTGGTACCTTAGCTTGGCTAGCGTGGATGTAAATGGATGCAAATCTCGTAGGAGTTGACGGGGAAGTTCCCCTAGAGGACCGACCAGCAGCAGGTACAGGCTAAGTACATAGTACATCTGCACCTCACATGGATTGAGATGGAAGTTGCGAAATTAATTTATTTTTCTTATTTTCCAATAAGTGCTCTTGTTTTACTCTTGAATAAATACGCGCGCGATTGTTCAATCATGAAATTTCTTCAATTTTTAATTAAATTAAATTTTACCTCCTTTTATTTTGTATTTACTTTTACTTGGAAAGAATACAAATGGTATCGTATCTATCCTCGAGAGGAAGCGTAGTCGTAGTTATTCCCTTTTCCCTACTGATTCACCCTGGATTCACCCCTATATTACAACAATGCTTCATTCGGACGAAATCGAAACGTTTACAGTCACTTACTTTGCTTAGCTTCATCGAGAACATTCAATTTTCAAAAGGCCATCCATAATGACCATGGTAATGACAAGTACAAGTATAATAACAGACACCTAGGTATGGTAGGACAAATAAAGCCCGACTGATGTTCCCTAATTTGTGTGTGCGATGTTGAGCAAATCAGCCCCTGAGACGGTCATTAAGATGATAAATCAATTATATCTTATACGGTGACTCGTACTTACTCTCAATGAATGGCAATAGCATACTATCAAACGTCAGATCCTTTAATACGCATAATGAGACACATATATCACCTAACTTATTTACTTATATAGAGATCATAGAGCAGGAGGTTAACAACTATTCTCAATTAATAGAACCACATGTTACTGTATCCCGCGATTGGTGAATACAGTAGCCAAGGGCCAAGGGCCAGAGGCCCGGGTTTATCATTTCCTGTGTAGGTACGTAGACTCATTCTAAATATACTACAACATAGCACGACTTGACTTACGAAGGTATATAAGATTCTGAAGCTATGCCATAGTTGATAAGATGGTGTAACTAATGATGTCTCGACGGAGGAATTGCTCCGGGCGTGTCGTATAATTATGACTGGCCTGAAAAGCAGCATTTATATTAGCATTTATATTAGTCTCTCGGGGGCATCGTTATGAATAGAACCTTGCGAGGTATCTAAACTACAGTAAATGCGGCAGGCCCTTAAACTCTTGATACGGCCAATTACTACAAACTACCTAAAGGAATGTCCTTTTTTATATCGACCGAGCTCCAAGATAGGTCAGACGTCACCCCAACGGCCGCCTCCGGTTGGAGATAAGTATCTACTCTGGCGGATAAGCTATCTCCGCAGAGCGATAGCTCGACCAGTATAATCACCCGGTATCTATTCTCCACTCCCGGACCGCCCCGTCGTCCCCGGGGTAAAACATGTTTGCTCCCTAGATCTAGTTATGTGTATCGTAGCGTAGAGAGACAAGGACGTGCGTGCTATCACACAACCCAAGATCAAATACTTACCACAGAAAAGATTAGGGGGTTCCGAAAGGGTCCTTGATGTTAATCAAGCTTATCTAGATTCAACTGGCTCCAAGAATGTCGCACTTACCCCGGACCGGCCCGAACCTCATATTCTCGGTATAAGTCAAAGGTGTATATAAAAGGGCCCGGAGTAACCAACTTGCCTCAGAACACACTTACACCTCAGCTTCGTACTTATCGGCCTACCTACCTTTCCCTTATTACTTACCTGTTTACCTTCATATTTACATACTTACCCTACCTACCCCCCCTATTCCATCTCCCAAAAGTATAATCATCATCATGGCAGACACCACCACCACCAAATACACCAACCGCGACATCCCCCGCATCTCCCTCCGAGACTTCAACACCCGCATCGACGACATCACAGCATCTCTAATCTCCGCCGCCGAAAGCAACGGCTTCTTCACGCTGACCGACCACGGGATCCCCGAGTCCGCCATAGAAGCCCAATTCGCCCTCGCAGAGTCCTTCTTCGCGCTCCCAAACGCCGCCAAGTCCGCCACGCCCTTCTCCCCGCTCACAAACACCGGCTGGGAGCGCGCCGCCCAAGTCCGGCCCAGCACCGGCCTTCCCGACCAGAAAGAGAGCTTCCAGATGCAGCACGGCATGGCGCCGGCCTCCTGGCCGTCCGACTCCGCGCTCCCGGGATTCCGCGCCCGGAGCCTGGAGTTCATGCGCAGCGCGCAGGAGGTAAGCGAGAGGTTGATGGTGTGTTTTGCGCGGGGGCTCGGGTTCGCCGACGAGTACTTTGTGCGCGCGCACGACGTGAGACGGTCGGGCGCGCAGACGGTGTTGAGATTGCTCAAGTACTTTGCGCTGGATCCCGAGGCGCCGACGCCGGAAGGCTATCACCGCGCGGGCGCGCATGCGGATTGGGATTTTGTGACGTTGTTGTTCCAGCGGCCTGGGCAGGGAGGATTGGAGATATGCCCGGGGCGCGAGGCGTTTACGGAGTTCGGCCTGGGGGACACGTGGACGCCGGTTGAGCCTGTAGCTGGCGAGATCGTGTGTAATATGTGAGTATTTATGTGCGACCTCTTTCTTCTGTTTATCCCTTGATAGGTTGGTTGGATGTGAGGGACAAAAGGGGCAGATACATGATCCCCTACCAGACGGCTAACCTAGAAAAGCGGTGACCTCCTAATGAGTTGGAGCGACGACCGCTTCAAATCAACGTTCCACCGCGTCAAGACGCCGACAGATCCGAAAGCCGATTACTACGGCACACGGTACAGCATGGCGTATTTTAACCAGCCAAACATAGACTGCGAGATCCAAGGCCCGCTGAAGAAGTATCCAATAGTGACGGGATCAGAATTCACCAAGGCCGCTATGAAGCGCAATTACGAAACGTTACAGGCGACGAAGGCGGCAATGGTAGATAGTACTGCATGAGGAGTTGGGTTTTTGTTCCATTGTCAGTGATCAATATAAATATCTGTTAGTGAGGGGCATTGAGGACACCACAGTGCATCGTGAGCTCAAACCTTGCCAGTGACCTAATACGCTAATATTCCACAAGACTCAGAACCTCATACGACCTATGGGTGGCCTAGGGATACATTATCTTTGCCAGCTGACTTGGGCAGTAATCGGGACCTAGACCGGCGACGTCTTCCCTAAATGATTAAAAGGTATTCGTGCCCATCTAGTAATTCCCCAAGTGGCCAATCCTATAACTCTCGGACTTTATACTTCAAGTAGCTCACCATGGACCACGAAGAATTCAGTGCCCACACCTGAAACCAGCCCAGTAGAATCTTTGTTGCTGAATAGAGAACTGCGTACAGTTGTTTTATGATCTTGACCCGGTTTCTTTGCTTGCTTACCTAAAAGCTCCTAATAATAGTAACTTCAGGCTGCTCCAGGAATCTGACACGAGTGATTATGAGGTGGAGGTCTTTGGGCTGGGGATTGTTGCTCTTTGAGGGATGGCGCCCCTTCAGACCCATGGCCACATTGTCTATCCATGGGAATATTGATGGAAAGCTGATGATTGTGGGGGGCAGAGTATGAACAAGCCTGACTGCTTAGACATACGTATTAGCAAGAGGTATTAGCATGGTCTAAGCAAACCTCTGAAAAGACTTGTACGTTTTGCGGCCGAAAAACCTCCTTTCTGAAACTAAATTTTAATATCTTATAACCGAAAGTTTTTATGGTAAAGGGTTGAAGAGCAAGAAATGGATTAATAGCAAGTCACGACAACATCACACTTACTAAGGAACTTCGGGGTTATCAAGTTAGCTACGAAACCTAGACACTTATAGCGAAGCCACTCGTCACATTAAACTATCGATCGCGATCACAAAATCACTGCCAAAAAAACAAAGATGTATAGCAACAGTAAACAAATCAATGCGGGGAGACTTCGCAGTCTGAAGCACTATCTAGCAAGCCCTGTCCATGAATGGGGGCTCAGATGGTTGCTCTTTTTTCCCAAGCAAGCAAAAATTATATACTCAAACAAGAGCCTAGAGTATGCCTCTCCCTACCCTCTCCGGGGGTCATCCGTGCTCCCTAAATTATGACTAATAGAATAGTCCCGTTGGCAATGCCAATGAAGAATCAATGAATAAAAGTTTTTATCGACGCCTGCCTCCCTGCCTGTGCTTGCTTGATTGCTTGCTTGCTTGCCATGCCGCCTTGTCCTGCCCTCCCAGGACCGTACGCCTGAACTCATGCCGAAAAACTGCCTGCGATGCCAAATCCTCGCCGATTAGGCCGAGAGTTGCGTAAAAACCACTGCAGAAAAGCAAAGTGTATCGAACAGAAAGAAAACGTCGCGAATCAGAATGTATCGTTAGGTTCATAGGCCACGTATGACGTCGTAAATGACGGCACATCGATGCCGGCTTATTAGTTGATCAGGTATTAACCCGTGTCGGTTACATCGGTAACGACTGCGGGATCTCTATGTAAACTTGCGAAACCTTGAGTTGTTCCGCCGCGTTGATTATTGCTCTATGAAACGCACCGATGCCACGGTCGTCTGGTAATGTCGAGTGAGAAGACCTCCGCCGATGGATTGACTCAGCCTAACATAGGAAGTGGCATCGACATAGTATACGATCCTGGATGTACCTCATTGGTAGGGACATCCAACGTGTGGTGATAGCTGCGTTGGAAGGGGAGTCTAAACCCGTTCTGGATCTGTTCTTCGACGAACGGAGATGCACGCTTGAAAAGTCGAGTTGAATATTTCTCGAAGACTGCTCGATGGTGTTTACGACCAATTCGGCAACAATCAAAGAGCATTCCGATTAGCGGCTTCAACTGGGCATAAGTATAACCGGAATAGTGGACATGTTCGGGTGTCTAAGAGACAAGTTAGATGAGTGAATACTGAGGTTAATAAGGTTTAAGGTATGAGAGCTTACCCAGTCGCCTTTACCCAAGATCATACGTGAAAGGCATTGGGCTCCAGCGGCTACAAAGCTGGGAGGACTTGAAACGAAGCGCTCGTCCATAACGGTAACCTCGAGGAAGTACTTGGCTACGGTTCGAATCTCACTGTCGTAGTCATCCGCCTTGCTGATACGTCGCAAAAAGCTCATCGGACCAGGCCAGCCCAGTGCGAAGTTGAGCATGCTGAGCATGAAACGCTCTGCCTTGAGGACCTCCTCTTGGTTATAGCCGCCGTCAACCATATAGACGATTTCTTGCACCGAGGGGCAATTGATTTCTTCATACTTTGCAGCGAGCAGAAGAGCGGTAGCACCGACTAGTTGGAGTTTTCCTATGGAGACAATTTTAACCGAGAGGAATCGATCGATGTAGTTGACGGCCAAGAATAGCGTCTCTGGGAGAAGTCCGAAACGGGTGTGGACTTGAATGACCCAGTCCATTAGGACAGCTCGCATGGACCACTTGATCTCAGTCTGGATATCCATGTAATGAGGCTTGGGCAACAGATCGATCTATGCATGAAGAAATTAGTAAGGTTATGTGTTACCTCGTGTATGCAGGCTTGCTTGCTTACCTCCATTTCCTTCATGTAATTAAAAATGTCCTCTCCATACTCAGTCACCATGCTGATATCCCATTCCTCATCGTCCTGGGCATCACTACTAACCTTTCTCTCCACAATCTCTTTTGCGGCCGCAATCTCTGCAGCGCCCTTCTTGGTGAGCTTGGGAGGAACCATGATAGTAGTGACACCACCCGTCGTGTTGTCTCGGCCGGAATAGGCTGTAGTGTAGCCCTGATCGTCATAGTAATCCTCCTCATCGTCGTCGGACACATCGGCTGTGCTGTGACGCGGAGGGAATGCACCGGAGGCGAATCGTTCGTCGTAGTGAGGGTACATGCCTTGACCAGTAGCAGCGGGCAGGTCGTCTTCGTCTGTGTCAAGAGCTGGAGACACCCAACCGGTATTGCTGTTCAAGTAATCAACTGCTGCTTTCCAGGCCGCTTCCTTCTCTGGCTTCGCTACGGAATACGTGTTGCTCGGAAGCTGTTCGACAGCGTCGAGGTAGACGGCCTCCGTAACCTCTTCCTCTGACTGGCGCGTAATAGCAAGATTGCTATTCTGGACGCCTTTCTTGTGATTCTCCAGGTGAGATCCTTGCTGGCGACCTTCCGGTAGCACTTTCCCTGACGCTACAGGGACCCAATCTTTGGCCTCGACTTGCGGCTGAGTACTATACTTGATAGTAATGGCGGCTCGGTTCATTTTCTCCGGAGCATGTTGTTCCTTCTCAGGTTGGGTGTCACTGAAAACCTTGAACGGCTGGCCTCTTTTCTTGACAGGGTGTAGCTGTAGCTGCTGCTTTGAGATGGGTGCTGGCTCATTAGCTGTAGATTGGAGCTGATTCATCGAAGCAGAGGGAACAAGAGACTTGGGAAGTCGTTGCGCCGGTCGTAGGAAGGCGTCCTTAGAAGCATTGTGGTTTCGGTTCTCTTGGTCTGTAGTAAGAGGTCCGGGAAACACGCTAGGGTGCTTGATGACTGGCATGTACGAGTTAGTTGGTGCGGGTTTCGCCCGAGCATCCACGTCACTTTGGACATTGGGCTTGACTGCGAGCTTAGAAAAGCCAGCTGCGGTAGACATGGCGTTCACAAGGTTGCTGGTAGACTTGTGGCGTTGGTGAATGGTCTTGTTAGCCATTGGGGCAAGGTTCTCGTCGTTTCGGCTGCTTAGAGCATAGGCGAAACGGGAAGGCTGTCAATGTTGAAATGGGTAGTCAGCATTGGTCGAGAAAAAGCGTAATGACCGCAGCACACAATGGCTATGACACGAAAAGTTGCTATGAACAAGGTGAAAGGTAGGGATTGAGTATGTAGGTTCGCTACAGGGTCAATGTAGGGTCAAGCACAAGAATCAATCAAAAGAGAGTTTGGTTTGGTAACTCAAGGGAATGACAGATTGTGGAGGTAAAGATCAGGCACAGTGGAGATGGAAAAGACGAAAACTTACCCTGGCGTCCATGGTCTGCGAATTTTCGTAGGGATGATGCCCTAATGGGGTGATCTCGAGACGCGACGAAAGGGGCAAGGTTGAAAGACAGAGCTTTGGTCCAAGACCTCGGCCGGGAATATTAAGGTGTACAGAGTGTACAAGAGTTGTTCAAGGACAATTATGCCCAAGGGAAATCAATAGTGATGAATACTTCAAAGCGTGTCCTAGGAATTCAATGCACATAGAGTGGAGTCCTCTAGCAAACAGGTTAGTCGATATGAGCTGAGCATGAACATGAGGTTGGAGGTTGGAGGTTGGTATGCAGTAGTATGGGTATGGGTATGGGAATGGGTATGGGGTTGAATGTTTTTTTTTCTCGTGTATATGTGGTAGCATGGGTTGGAAGATGGGATGAAAGCTGCAAGTAATTAAACTTGTTGAAGCTTCAATGTTTGGTAAAGCTTTGGGCAGTTGTCAAGGCGTTGCCTAGCAGCTCACTGACAGTTCCCTGACAGTTCTTTGACAGCTGCACATAAGCTGATCATAGGGGGCTGTGGGCTGCAAGAAGGCTGCAATGCAAAAGGGCTGATCAAGTGGGTACGTACCTTGTTCTCCCAGAACATGTATGTCAACTTGTTCCCAGAACTTATATTTTTTGGACCAAGCTAAACCTATGTTTTTAATTCTTCTTCCCAATCATCACCAGGAGACCTTTAGGTTTATGATGACCACCGTGTTCCCAATGAAATAGAGCAAGATGGTGGCGTTGACGAGATGGAAGGAAGTCTTTCACATCAACCAGATCAACCAGGAGAAAGGTGTAGACGTCGTTGAAGGGTGTAGGTAAGGTAGATAAGGGAGGGACCTAGTGGCACAAGATTCACGACCTTGTTGATGTGAAAGGTGAAAGTGAATTTAGGAATGGATATAGGTAAGTGAAAGAAGCCTTCTAGGAATCGGCGACTGACGAAAAGGTTTAGTGGTATGGAACAGAGATAGTGAAGTACGTTGTCGTTGTCGAGTTAACAGAAACCGAAGAACGAGACTGGGCACTGGCAACAGCTGTCGGCGCAATGTCAAACCAAAAGAATGCCCTCGGCTTTCAATAGGTAAAAGTCTTAGGTCTGGTGGTTGGAGGAAGACGTTGCGGCGTTGACGTTAATTGAAGGGGAAAAAGTTGAAGAAGTGAGGAAGTTTGTTGTCGGCGCATTGGAGTTGCGAAGGAGGGATGCCTACCGTTTTGAGGTTGACTGGCAAAATCAGATTAAAGATTGACGGCGATTGTTGATGTTGACTTTCCAACTGAAGGCTGAAAGATTGCAGCTTTGCAGCTTGACGGCGCAGGGTACGATTCAGGTACGTACATACCCAAATAGGAAATTAGCATTAAGGTACGTACCGGACTACCGCGGGAAGCTGTGGGGAAATAAATCAAAATAAACAAACCGTGAGGTGCATTAAGCCTATAATCCCTGTCTTAATTCCTGCCCGTTGCCCAGGTCAAATCGAGTCGGCAACAACCTGTGAAACCCTAACGGCCTCTTGACAAATGACTCAGTTTACATATCTACATAAGTGGGGTATTGTCGGTGTTACGATATTCCGGCTCCTACGAGACCTACCTAGGTACCTATGTACCCCATCTAAGACTTAAAGTGGTACGGGAGTACTTGCCATTCTAGAACTATTAGTGGTCAATGCGCTTTTTAAAGAGCAATGACGTAGCGCCTTGCATTATCGCGTCTCCCATCCACTTGGATTCATTCTGACTTTTGCAAAAAATGGAGGTAGCTTGTTAGCCACAACTTATTTTCTCTCTCATTTCCTTGCACATGCTTGTATAGAGTGTACTTTATAATCTTATGAGTATGGGAGAGCATCTTTCTCCAATTAGAGGTGCGCTCAGCCAGGTTTGGATTTCGAACTCTAGGCGCGGTCGTTCTTCAGATGCGATCGCGAGCGCAACTCGGGATCACGTGATGTATTAAGGTCTTCGGTCTTGACTTTTCTCAACGACAATCTTGAGCCTCTACAGCATCCGCTGAGGGGCAGGTTAGCTCCTAAACCTATAGGAAGTATTATATATGGTTATGCGACACAGGATATATGTGCTTTGGGGCTTATTAGTGCCTTCAAGCTTGTACTCAATCATATGCCTCCAGGTGGCGCATATCGTCTGACTGGACAGAGCGGCCAGGGAGTGAGAAACTTACATACTACGACTAATTTGATGGCCTATGCGATTTCATGGGGGGTTATAGATAACAATTATGCGCACAATCTTGGCCGCTCGTTTTGCACGACTCTGGTTCTCTATCTCTGCCTCTTCTAGTGTTTAACCCTTGACTGTGGTCTGGAACGAGTATCGGAATACGACATCTCACATTCGATCGTGGTTGGATAACACCCCTCCCTTGAGAGCTTTCCGGCCACGGTACTAGATAGTCCGGAACCTGGAATTATCGACTACTGCGCGCAGTATGCTAAACTATAATGGTACGCATGTTTAGTTGTCGTCCAGATAAGTCTACTATGTAGTAGGCCCTATAGCATCATGGCGATCATATATGGACCAAACATATACGAACATACCTCGTTATATAACACGATGGCTAAGCTGTTAAGTCAAGTCTGGACGACGTCTTGCGTCGCCTCAATGATGTGACATGCATGCGCATCATGCCGCTTCCCTCAAACCATTGCATAAGCACGAGAAAAACAGCCGCACAAAAGTCGCATCTATTTTTCGATTGGACAAGAGTGACTACAAAGCCCTAACAGTGTATATATAGATAGAAAATATTGAAGCGATGTGAGTGAAGATAGGGGAATGCGGTTCGATGGAAATTCATGATGACGAGACTTTGCTGCAAGGGTTGTAACAACGCACGGAAATACCGAAAGGCTAAGTTATACCTTGTAAATAAGTGGTCAGCGCTTGGGGGGGGGGTTATTGGATTTATTACACTGTACTGGAAACATAACATCATATCCTCCAATGATGCTCTATTTCCCTTAATCAAGCTGGCAATCTATCTAATTGGGGAGACGAGAGAACCCATATTATCGTGGCGACATGCGGAGGTTGGGAAGAAAGAAAAAAAAATATCACTCGCTTTCCTGCTTGGCTAATAAATATGTTGTTGCAGTCGATATGACGAACTCCGATGTCGATCCTGCTGGCGTTCCTAAATTCTTACCCCCTTCTTTGCCTGCCTGCCTATCTGCGCACGTACAGGCGGAATACCCCAGGATTCAGGATCAGAGGTCACCAGTTTAAGACGGGGGGAAAGACCGTAGATAGAGTCTCTCAGTTGGGTGCGGTGTAGATCAACAACAGACCGAGCGAAAAGTAGACCACGATTCTGATAGGCTTTAAAGCCCATTGGACGCTTGTGGTTCGATCTATCATAAGCGGTCAAGATAAAGAAGACGGGGGCACTAACCCAGCAAGCAGCCTAGGCTAGGTATCGTACATATTGTACATATTGTACATGCCTACATAACCTAGCAAGACAAGACAAGACAAGACAAGACGAGACGAGACAGCAAGACGGCAAGAGAAAGAGGCTAGATGTGAGAGATAGAAGAAGTATGCGCTGCCTCGGAATTTTGTTATTCTTTCTTATTCAGAGGCTAGGAACTGAGGGGAAAGACTGCGAGGGGGACGAGGGGGACGAGGGGACGAGGGGACGTGGTCCTGAAACTCAAGATAGGGTCGCGACCCTGCTAGTTCCTCTTTTTGTTGTTTGTTTTTCCAAAATGTCGAACTCGAATAGGCGAGCGAACGGGTTTTGGAGAAGTCGTGGATGTTTATTATGTTATTATGTACGACGTCCGTCAACAGCCAACCAAGTTGAGTTCTGAGCGCGTGGAGAAACCAAAAGTTGTTGGGCGATCCGCAAGTTGCGCCCAAAGGGTAGTCCGCGCTTGGCTTGGCTGCGCGAGAACTTCTTTTCCCTAGCTTACCAGCTTGGTTGAAAGGATCTGGGCTGTCAGAAGTTACTAGTATTCCCGGGGTCTGATTCGATCCAAGTGGATGAAACTGGTCGCCAGCGCATACCATCGTCGAACTCCAGTCTCCAGTCTCCAGTCTCCAGTTTCCAATACTTTCTACGTGTATATGTGTATATACGTGTATATACGTGTATACCTTTTCCCTTTCCATACGAATTAACAACAGCGCTTTTCCCTTTTCTGGCCGGCATTCGGTAGTGTGGGTTTATTTGTCCAACCTTCTAGAGAGCGAGTCCACAGTGTGCCACTCGCTTCGATTTAGTCTTTGCCTTTGGACTTCCGGTACGTATTGTATTGTATTGTATTGTATAATGGTAGAATAGTGGTTATGTAGGTACTCTGCTAAGAGCCCTCTGCCCGCCTTGTTTCCTGATTGCTGCGCAAATCTCTACCACCGAAACGCCGTAGCCATACCGAAGTAGTTAAACATAGAACAAGCATGGGGCCGAATCCCATTTCTTCTTTTCCGTCAGACCATGATTACCTTCCTGGCCGTCCATCAAGGCCCTTGAAAAGTCTTTCGTTTTTGCTTTTGGTTTCCCAATTTTCTAGATACCTACTGGCCATCTTTAGTGAATTGCGAATTCTAGACGCAGCTTTTCCGTCCTGCGCCCACTCACACTACTGCGTAGAGCGACCCTCAGGTATCCTCTAGATGGGTCTGGGGACTTCTCCGAGTGGTCATCATGTCTATCTACTGCGTACGTACCCTACCAGTTTTGCTGGGCCCTTATCCCTGCTCTCAGACAAACTGGCGCATCTAAGGAGCCACGCTATTGGCTGGATAGGCTGTCAACTTGCCCGCTTTGCTCACCTCAACTCGCATACGACGAGGTCTCGTTTGCGACCACGAACTAATTATTGTCCACGGAGCCGATAGATCAGCTGGCCACCTGACAGCGATCATTAGATAACCTCATTTTCTCAAGTTGCGCCTTCGCGCGACATCTTACAGAGGATGTAGGTCAGACTTTATATGAAATGCGCCTAAATAAGTTATATAGTAGGGGGGCACTCGAAGTGATGCGCAAAAGCGCCAATGGCTCCTTTTCGTAAAGCTCGAGCCTCAAAATGTGACGTCTACTCGTCCTAGTGCGAAGGACGCTTTGGACAACGGCGGCGCATAGCCCCTTAAGTAGCGTCTGGCTTGAATCGCAAAGAACGGCGCAAAGCAAAGGCGCATTATATACCGTGAGCAGCCATCTGACGGGTGTCCCTTGGAACATGAAGGATTACACAATTGCGCCAGCGTGTGGTTTATGTGTGGTCTATGTGTGTATGGTATATATGTCTGTGAGCGCGTGTGTGCCTGGATCGAGAAGAAGGCCGGGTGATTCCGCAACTTACATAGTTACCTTGGAACATCGTGGACAAGTCAGATGTGTATGTACGTATCTATCTTAATATGTATCAAGATAGGTACATTATGTATCTGACCTGCCGGAAGCGCGCAATATGGCTGTGCGTCCACGGGATCTCGAGGCAGGTAATTCCTAGTTCCTAGTTCGACGTCGCAATGCGCAAATTCAGGGACGTGTTTGCGTTTTCTCTCTTTCTTTTTCTTTTTCTTTAAGACTGAGACTCTGAGACTCTGAGACAAGGCGACTTGACGCAGATCGACTTTTGCCCCCCTCCCCCATGTAAGGTAATTAAGATGAGCAGGATATTAAAGCAAGATACTAGATTTCGAGTTACATAGACATACCTAGAACATGCCATAGACCATAGACCATAGATCATAGATCATAGACTAGGTAAACCATACAGCCATACAGCCATACGGCCATACGGCCATATAGCCATAGAGAAGAAACCAAGTCCAAAAGTCGCCTTCGTTCGCAGCATTGTCCTAATGCAGCGCAACGCAGCGCATGGTCAGATTTGCTATGCGGGTATCGCACAATATGTGGAAGTACATGTATGGGTGTATCCTCACGCACTCACGCATCGCGGCGGGACATGCGAGTCGCAAAGATAATATGTGACGCTCTAATGCATCCGCTGGACGGCATGTACCCAATAACGTATGTTTAGACGATGTGTACAATGCATCCAATGCTTTCCAATGTTTGCGACTCGATAAGAAGAGGCCTTACCAACTACTAACATACAGCATGTAATATACCTACCTAGTGTTAATGCCATGTAATATATCTAATAATATATGTAAAAATATACATGTAAAACTCAGTCCAAGTCCCAGTCTAAGTCGCAAGTCCCCAATCTAATTATCGACCTGATGGGACGCCATTCTTCTTTCGAAATACATAGAACCCATAGAACCCATTATGAGCTTTCCAACATGTTAAACAAATCCGTAGAATTCGTAGAACCTGTAGACAAAACTGATAAACTTAATTCGCGATTACTACCCTTGGCGTCTGAGCATTGAATGTCAGTATTCTGGGCTAGTCGCATTTGTTGTCGATCTTGTAACTTTATAAACGGCGCGCACTTGACCAGGACCCGAAGAATGCTGGAAGTACTACGGGACGGTACCTCCCTATACCCACTTAGATAGCCAACCTTAGATAACTACCAGGTACATTGAATGTTCTCAGGTAAATTGGTCGAGAATAAACGTAGGTACTTCTATACTACAAAGACTATAATAATTATAATTAGTTACTTGACCTTTTCATTTTCATTTTCATTTTTCTCTATTCTCAAGATTGAAAACAATTAAAAATATAAAAATAAACAAGGTGCTCACCGTTGGGATCGGACGGGGACGGAGACGGGTCGGTACTTTCCATGTTATAGGGCCTGACCGTTGTTTTTTTTTATGTACATGTATTTCTTCAGTGGCACGTTCTCGGTTTGATGCATCACTAAACACGCCTACTAGCAGCCGGTAGCCAGGTACTTTAGTGGTGTGGTGCTGGTGCGCTGTTCAAGGCCTGGGCAGCCCGCGGCGCCCCAAAGTCGGGCAGGTACTGCACCTACCAAACTAGATGTACTTTACTTTAGTGGACGGCATGCAACTTTATGTGGGAAAGCCTTTTTTGGGGACTCACGCTGCAAAACCTCACTACTCTTCTTCCACCTCCTCTTTCACACAACTCCGAATTCTCGACCAGCTTCCATCTAACACATTTCCATTTCCTCTGGTAGGTTTCTTACTCCATCCCAATCTTCCTTGCAACCTACATAGTCACCTACTCCTACGAGAACATCCGTAATTCCGCAACTCTTGGTGACTGACTCCTTGGTGACATAGGTCGATCGGGGGCTAATCCTGACTTCAAAGTCGTGTTCATGCATCTCTAAGCGCACAGCACCATCCATTCTTACTCCTGGTAGGTTTTTCTAGCAAAGGCACCTAATGCGATCAAGCATTCGCTTCATTTTGAACCCTATCTCTCCATTCTGCTCGTTCTAGCCATCACCTACTATACACGCTCTGGGTCGTACTCAACCACTCACTCCGCACCTAGAGTTGGCCTTGAACAGGCCAGCCAGCATTATTACTTCCTGATACCGAGATATAATCGCTGTTTAATGCTGCTATGATCTAACTAATGCGTATGAAGTTTCTCTAGTTGAAAAGAGTCGTTTCGACGAACCCGACTTTTCGTTCGTTTTTCTTGCGATCGGCCCTGACCGCTTCGCCCAAAATTCTCGACTACAACTATATTGTCACCACCAACATTTAAAGGCATACTCTGTTCAAATAGGCGGGAGCTTGTATAAAAAAATACCTATTGGTGCTGGTGTTATTAATTCTGCTGCCAACAAAAATCACTATACCTCCCCTTTCCCTCAGCCCACCCTCATTCGAACGGTAGTGAGCGCTTTTCATCTCCCCAAGCCTCAGCCGCACGGAGCGGACGAACTCACCCTCTATACGGAAGCGATTCGTGGTGTGAGTAAAATGACGTCCGCTTCGCCTATGGAAACCTTCCCGTCCGGCTCTACCGGTTCTCATAGCGGAAGCGCCTCCCCTCGACAACCCGTAACCCCGAAACATGTCCAATTCGAGCTCCTCTTCCCCGAATCTCCTCAATACCGCGCAAGACTTCCCCTGCGCGTTCAAATCTACCCTCATGATGACACGGAGTCAATAATATCTACTGTGAAGAATTTCTACGGTCTCTACCATGGCGGGAAGGGTGTTAGTTTTGAGGACGATCGAGGTAACACTCTCATTGCGAGATATGAGAACTTCAGCAACAACATGATTGTATACGTGAGAGTCATTGAGGAGTCTCCTCCACCGGCGGGAGCATTTGCTCCAAATGGCTTTCAGCCAGGGCCAATTGATTATGCGGCCCAACAATTAGGGCACCATCTCTCGAGACCTGCGTCGAGGACTTCCCGCAAGCGCAGTCCATCCCCCAACGGAGGTCGCGGGAGGCGTAGCGCATCTGCTAGCACGAATCCAACAGCTGGGAAGAAGGGTCGCTCGCGCTCTACTAAAAATCGTAGCGCGAATTATGATAATCGTAGCGATAGTATCAACGGCTATGATAGCGGGGACGGTGCTCCTGCGTCTGTGTCTAGCAAGGCAAAGGAACAGATCGGCAACACTGATATTAGTGTTGAGAATATCGTAGAAGGCGGTCGCCGGAAGCGCGCCAAGTTTGAGAGCTCGGTAAGTCTACCCTAACTCCAGTATGTTCAAGGCGATCTTGCCTAACTAAGCCGTGGTTACAGGAGCTGCCGCTCTTCGCGCCACCTCAGATGCCCGCTGCTACCTCTAATCCTTCCGTCTCTCCTGTTCGCCGCGTTGAGCATCAACGACCAGCATTTCCGTTCGCGCATCCCGGACAGAATGCTTTCACAAATGCTCGTGCCCTTCAATCTCCGCAGAGTTATAACAATGGGTATGGTCAGGCCGGCATGTTTGCGACACCGATGAACGACTCGCGGCGCCATCGCAATAGCGGTAGCATCAGCTATCCAGGAACTGGTAGTAATATTCTGCCAACCCCTGATCCGACCATTGGAAGTTGCGTGTCCGAGGAGGATAAGGATGTCGCAATCCAGCTTATGAGATTAGGCGAAATGTCCAACATTTCCCATGGGCGGACTTCCGCGTCGACCTTAGACGATACATTCAGTGGTAGGGCTGAGCTTGCTTCGTCGACTGGTGCTACGAGCGACGCCGATAGTGATAGCGAAAATGAGCTACCCCCTTCGCGTCGCCAGAAGCTTGACTTCGCTGGGGTCAATCGCAAGGTCTACCAAACAACACACAGTCACTTCATACCCTCGCGCGAAAGCATCGATGCTAGTGGCGACGACGCTGACTACGAGGATGGTGTTGAAGATGGCCCTCTCGGAGCGCCCAAGTCACACGACTCGAAGCTCAAGGCCCAGCAGCCCGGAAAGCTACAAGCACCGGGTGCAAAGACTTCCAAGGCTAAAGCTCCCAAGGCTCCCAAGCTCACAAAGACAAAAAAGACTAGCGTCGCTGCTAGCCTCATTGGCCCAATGTCGCCCGCGTCTCTGCCAAACCAGTCGCGCAAGCCTTCTATCGCCTCGACTACAATGGCCCCAGGACAGTCGGGCGAGGATGACCAACCTGACCTATCTACCAAGCCGCGCTGTCAGCGATGCCGCAAGAGTAAAAAGGGTTGCGACCGGCAGCGGCCCTGCGGTCGATGCCGCGACGCTGGTCTCAGCGCCGACCAATGCATCAGCGAAGACGAAGGAAATGGCCGAAAGGGTCGATATGGTCGCCATATGGGCGTTCCAATTAAGACGGCTGATATCCCCGGACCTCCTACCCTTCTACCCGCCGCTCCCATCGTGGCCCCCACAGTAGCAGGTGACAAAAACAAGAAGCGAAAGCGGTAGGTCACCTGATCTACGAATAATGCGCCACAACACATCGATAGGTACTCAACAATACGTATCATGTAAGGCAGAGAACTTGCGAAACCTGCCGACGGGTGCCGCCTTTTTCTCCATTACATACCCACCCCGAGTGCTAAGAATTGTATCTATCAGCTTCAGTCACAAAATATAGTCGTTGATAGGATACGTCTGTATGCTCAACACCGCACTGCTCTAAACTATAGCAAAAACGAGGTGTTTGCATTTACGCTAGTGTAAAACTATGCGATATCTAAGGAGGGAAGCGGATATGGGATGGTGTCTTGTCACTCTTCGTCGGAGTTTTATTCCTATTGGGATTGGAAGAGGCGTAGAGGAAACAGGTATTTAATATGGGCCTCGCGGCCGTTACACTCCTTTTTATCAAACATGGAACGTCAAGTACAATATCTTGCCGGGGGGTTATTGGCGTTGGATCGTACTTGCTTGTCAATTCATCATTCGCAACGTCACCAACCTCAGCTACAAGATACTATGCCGAGCCATTGGCTCAGAAATAAGAAGGTAAGCTTTGGAAAAAAGGAATCCAGGCGCGTTTCAGAAGGGGGAAGATGGAAGAACGGCAGCAAGGAAAACAAAAAAACCGGTGTGTTTAAGGAGTCCGCTGCTCGAGGGTGAGGGATGCGTAGCAGGTGCCCTACTGTCAGCGGATCACAGGGCGTACGAAAGGCCGGACTTGGTAGCCGTACGGGGTGGGAAATTGTGTTTTCAAACGGGGTTATCCTGCTTCTCCTATATTTTTTGGCGGTCCATACTTGTTTTGAAGCTTTTCGCATTGTGTGTTGTTCTCTTTTCCTTAATTGTTCTCTATCGCTAGCTAGCGGAAATGAATGTTAAATGTCATGAAAACCTTAGCGGCAAATATAAACGATGCTTATAACTAGGAGATGGTATATATTATAAGCGTATATATACGTATGTGCGTATATGTGCTCCCACATATATAAAGTAATTGATAGACTGACTGATCGTCGTTAGAGTCTTGGTGGACGTGCGTAGTTATATATAGGTACCTACCACGCCGTGTAAGTCTGTGGATGACAACGAAGCGTATCAAACTATATACTA